TGCACTTGAGAAAGGATTGTTAGAGGAGTCTGAGGAATATAATTTTTTTAAGATTAACATCAGTTAATTTTGTCTCTACTGCTACAAGACCCAAGGCTTTACCCTTAATGTTAAAATGTAATATATTATTAAGACACATTATTAACATCAATGCCAATAGTACTGTTAAACAATTGAAACGGTATTTTCATTGGTACCGTCACAAAATCCAGTGGCAATGATCTCCTTTTCCAGGTTCTCCCATCTTGCTGCCACATTAACGAGGGTGTCCTGGAGGCCAATATTCTGAATGTCCGGGCGTCTCATGAGATTGACTGGAAATTATATAATAAAAGGGTGCTGCTATGACAATGGATGGATGATAACCACAGCGGTAACAAAAAAAATTGTACGAGTACTGCCTTAAAGCACTGAAATGGTAGAATGCCTTTCTTAGCATGTTGATTGGCAAAGCAGTTCTTGAATGGGATTCGATTGTTCTAAACAGACGACCCACAGCAATATGATTCTGTGGAAAGTAAATTTAATAAAGGTTTTACTCAACTAATCAACAGTTTTGCATGATTATTGTGATGTCTTGTGAAACATGCCCTCTAAATATTTTAATTTTGTGTATACTTACTGAAACACCAGCAGTCAAAAGAGAGCATAAAGGGATTGACAGAAAAATTCTGTTATTGTAGTTGTGAAACCCACTCTCATATTCTTGAAACCGGACCAAGTTTCTGCAGACAGGACACTCCTTGGCAAAGACAGAAACACCTAGATAAAAAAAAGAAATCAATTCAAGGTGATTTTCAAGGTGAGTTTTAGTAAGAAAAGAAAGTTGCTCATTAACCATTACAGAAGTCATTTTACCTTTAAACTGTTTAAATATTCCATAAACAGTTGCTTGCCGGGTGATGAGTATTTTGTTTCCAAGATCTGGAGGAGATGGGCCAGGACAGTATGGGCACTGTACTTCTAGTGGTTCAAAGTTTTCAGGAACGGGCTTCTCTGCTGTGGTTAAATCCACTGGAAGTTCCTCTGGTATTCTTTTTGAACTCCAGAAGTAGTTGGTTTCCATGATGATACTACTACGTGAATGTTGGTGGACGTCATCAGCAGCACTGATCATCTCCTCAGCATCTTCAATATCCTCATTTGAGGTGTCCACTGCATTTTGTAACA